TTGGATAAAGTGCAGGTCATCATCAAACTTTTCAAAAGCCTCGTTCACCCATTCAACTATTTTTTTTTTATCAAATAGCCCATCGAACTCTTAAAATGATTCATATTACCCTTTATGCTAAGGTATGCTATGAAAACTAATAGAACTTATGCACGTGAATGGACATTTCCATCATTTGCCCGTTGCACTATTTTGTACTCCATTCTTTGTTACAGGTGGTTTTGACAGTCATTCTATACAAGACAGGATTGTTCATTTGTTAATAAAGTATGCAAAGCAGAAATGGCTCATTTGCTAACAGAGTATTCTTTGAAGAGGCAATAAAGATTGATAAAAAACCACAAATATAGTCTCTGAGTTGTGTTGATGATAAAGTTATATTAGGTCATATGTTTCTCTTGTTTGGCAAATATCTGAAATCTCAAAGTTAACTTCTGGTTGCTCTGGGTTCGTTGATTTTGTAGAACAAATATTGGAGAAGAGGAAGATGAGCCAAACTCTTCTGGCAAACCATTGTACTTTGCTTGATTTGCTTGAAATTCCTCGGCTGATGGACACGTATGTCTTTGACCACGTTGTAAAATAATACAATAAATTCAATTAATGGTCTCTATTCGGAATTAATATTTACTAACCTATGCTACAAGTAGATCAAATAAGTTCAATTAATGCAATAAATTCAATTAATTCCTTTCGCTCTCTAGTGTTTTTTTTTCTATGTGAACCGTGAAAGTGTTCAACTTGGCCACTCGACAAATAGTATACCAGAAAATGGTCATTTATTCCCAGCATGTCGCTTGATTCAAATCATCTCAAAGCTAGAGATGGAAAGTGGGCATCTTGCTGAGATATACTGCAGAATTTTATTTTCTTCACTAGTGGAAAGAATAATGCATAACTAGAAATGATCTCAAAGCTAGAGATGCAAGTGCAGTTTGCTAAATTCCAGTGTTGCAGTATAACCACTACGTCCCTCAAACAATGAGAAGCAACAATCTTCCCATGCCAAAACAGAGCGGAAAACATGCAGTTTAATTGTTTTCCATCAAAGATGCACCTTCCCGGACACTGTTTGTTGCCCGACTATGCCCTGGATCCTTGCCAATTAAGTCAATGCCGCCAACTTGTTCACCAACCCATTAGATGAAAAGGATCTTCAAAAGATATGGTAAGAGTCAGAAATCGAGTAAGATGCTGAAACTTCTCTTTCACTGTGTCAAATGTCTCTGCTGCAAAGCGTATTTGACAACTTCATAAAATGAAACAACAATCCCCACTGAAGGGCCTGCCCGGGCCACTCGAGGACCAACTCCTGTAAAAAGTCCCTTTATCCCTCCATCCCTGTTACAAAGTCACGATGAGTTAGAATAGGCCAAAAAGGACAAGAACCAAGGATTATATTGATCAAAAATATTTGAAGCATATACACCAAAAAATTTAGATAAGATAGCAATGCTAGTTTCTCATTCTTAAATTCGGTTGCTGAGAACAAAAATAAAGCCTGTAGAAACAAATTCTTAGACATGAGATTTTACAAATTCAGGCCTGGAGACACTTAGTTGGCATTATGGACCAGTATAACTAAGAAAACAATCAAAAAACAGAACTCATTTCCTACAAAGCTCAATCCCAGTCTGAACCTTCTTTAATCATTTTACCAAATTTTTGTGTTTAACCATTTATACATATCATCCGAATATGCAAGCCTTAGAAGAAACAGAACCTGCAAGTTATACCTCCATATCTCAAGCAATGTTTGTCTTGTGGTCATGAAATCCCACGAAAGGTAAATGTGCTGTTTTTACCTTACAGTTTGATTCATCTTCCTCTTAGGCATTTGATCGAACAGGTGGTGAGTTTCGTCCAATTGCCCATTGAGAGCACACAATCTGATAACCTTTGATGCAAACAACAAAAGCTAAATTAACTTTGCATCCAAAAACAAAACTTTTTTTGGAAGCGGAAGTACCCATTACCCAGTACAAATTTACACTAAAACTAAATATATTTCTACCATAAGAAAGAGTTTCGAAGAAACCCACCAAGGTTTTTAAGAAATAAGTTGTTTCTCACCTTTGGGAAGAGCTTCGACGCTTTATCTCATCCTCGTAAAAAAGTTGTCTCTTATGTGCAATGCCAATGCATCTTCGTGCAAACCCTTTTCGGCATCTCGGACCATATCCGTGAATATTTCGTCAAAGTTGAATGGTGAAGATGACGAAGGGGACAGAGGTTGTTTGGGTTTTAGGGTTTTTTCCGTTGATGCTTTATGGTTTTGGTTAAAGAGTTTTTATTTTTCTTGGTTTTGGTTGTATTGGTTAAAGAGATTAAGTTTCTTTGCCTGGTTAATCGATTAATTAACTTAATATGATTCGAGTTGGGTTGTTTGAGGGTTTGGTTTATTAAGGGACACTGGTTTATTAAGGGACACTTGGCGAGATTTTAAGGAGTGGGACAGGATGTGAGACAGGGTGTGGTACAGAAGATCCGTTGCGGACGGAGGGAGTATTTTGCAAGAAACACAACAGTTTGGATTGGGATAACGTGAGCTGAGCCGAACAGTCCATAAATCGATGATGATCAGATGCGGTCCTGATCCCAAATCAAATCACAGTCCGAGGATGTGGATGACGAATGCTGGGGATGTCTGTAACTTTTTTGCTGTGGAACTCACACATTCCGTGGATTTAGAAGCACTAATACTACTACTACTAGTGTAAATACCCGTGCTACGCACGATGCTGACATTATTAAAAAAAATAAAATGGTGAACAAACAAAGGTGAAAAAATTGAACCAACAAAATTTAAATGTAATATCTATTTAACAATAGTTTAAAATATAATAGAATGTGTATATCATTCAAGAACTGTCTTTTTTCGGAAGATGGATTCTGAAAAAAAAAATTAAAATTTATATTAAAAAAGGAAATGATATATTTCTACAAATGAATATAATTGAATGTTGTTAAAATGAAATACTTACAAATACTAAGCATTCGATTTGATAATCTTTCTTGAAGGTGCGAATACTCTACACACCAATCCACTTTTAGTATGAAAGTCAAAATTGATGATTTAATTAACTATGTTGAATTTTGTGGAATGCGTACTACAGATAAAAATGCACGATCTTTGACGATATAAAAAACTGCATATTTACCATGATCACGCAAAAGTATTGGTGATGCGGATGTCTGTCGAACTTGAAGAGAGACAATATTTTCATTTCTTTGATCTAGAAAAAAAATATATATTAAATCAAAAATAAATAATTTTTGTATTTATTTTATGTGTAGTAAGTGATACATTGTATGAGAATTGTTAACAAAAAAATACAATAGTTAATATAGAAGTAGCATCAATAGAATTTAATACAATTGTGTTGTAATCAAATGAAAATTACGCACCAATAGAATTGTTATTAGCACCCATAGTTAATGAAGTAATCCCTATATAAATATATTTTGGTACATGTAGACCCCCCAAACCCTGCAAAACCAACCACCACTTATTGAAAACAAATCAATAAATGCACTAAAATGCCTCCCATCTATACCTCAAATTGCATTTTAACCCACGAATTTTGTGCGAAATTATCCCTCTAATTGCTTTTGTCTTTTTCGATTTTTTCACATGTCGCTAACTGCTTCATTCCCTCTGCTATCGTAACACCTTTTCTATGTGATAAATGTGTAATAAAAAATAATTAAAAAAAACTTCAATAATACAAACAAATAAATTTTTGTAATATACAATTTATGTTAGAAATAGTAAAACCCTCAATAATGAACCTATACCATCCGCAATTATATAAGCAAGCAATACCTTATGTTAGAAATGTGATTGTGATTTTGTGTTTATACTTTATCCCGCTATTGAGAATCTTTGCTTTACAGTGCAACAATAAGCAAACAACCGTTCATAGGATTTTGTAAAAAATTTTCAGAAATAATAGATGATCAGAAAATCAATGCAATATCATTCATGACAAAAAGCAAAGCAAAAGCAAAACATACTTAAAAGGCAGAGGGGACCGACCTGAAAAATTAAACTGGCAAAAATATACTTCCAATTCTCCGCAAGAAGGTTGATTTCTGCTGAAGTCTCTGCACATAATATCTTCAACTACTGCTCATAAAAGAAACAAAATCAATACATTTACAAAATGAATAGAAAACCAAACACAAATAAGAATCTGAGAGAGAGTAAGAGTGAGATAGTGGAATAGTGGGAATAGAGAATTTGTAGGAGCGGTTGTAGGATGAGTTAAGATAATGGGATAGTGGGAGTGAAATAGTGGGAATATTGATGGGTGATAAGGTGGGTTATAACCCACTACATTTTATGTATTAAAATAAATATAAAAATTTAGAAAAAAAATGAGAAGTTTAAAAATCATTGAGAAGCTTTCTGCTAAAAACCCCTTCCTGAATACATATAGATATAGGGATTGCCTCAAGAGTTGCCGGCTTTTGAGGTTAATTTTGGGATTAGGTTTATAAAACAACAAAAGTCTGATTCAGGCTGTTGAAAAAAGACAAATTGCCTCAGGATTGAAAGGGTATTGGGTGGTAGTATCCCACTTAGCAGCAGGTCCCCCCTATAGGTACATTTGTCCCACATCGGGGTTGGGGTTGGGTTTGGGTTGGGATATAAGTCCCTGGGATTGCCTCAAGAGTTGCCGGCTTTTGAGGTTAATTCTGGGATTAGGTTTATAAAACAACAAAAGTCTGATTCAGGCTGTTGAAAAAAGACAAATTGCCTCAGGGTTGAAAGGGTATTGGGTGGTAGTATCCCACTTAGCAGCAGGTCCCCCCTATAGGTACATTTGTCCCACATCGGGGTTGGGGTTGGGTTTGGGTTGGGATATAAGTCCCTGGGATTGCCTCAAGAGTTGCCGGCTTTTGAGGTTAATTCTGGGATTAGGTTTATAAAACAACAAAAGTCTGATTCAGGCTGTTGAAAAAAGAATACATATAGATATAGATTAGTAATAATAACGGACCACTTAAAGAGGATATTATGGGATTCGCCCAGGCCCTCTTCGCCTGCGCGCCGCTGCCACCACCACCACCACCACCGCCACCACTGCATCAAAAGAGTAGCAGTGTTCCCACATGGCATTTTTCAAGCTTCACTGGTATTACTGCTTGTAGTGCTTTTTTCAATTGCAGACGGTTCCTATTATTTCAAGAATCAAAACCGACTCATATTTCAGCTTCTCCTCGCCACTCCCAATTCAACAACTTGTACCAAGAACATGAAGAATTAGGGTTCAAGAAGCAGAAGAAGAAGAAGAAGAAGGAGAATCACAATAGCATTCTGGAAAGTCATCGTCCGTACAAGAATGCTCCAACGCATACCCAATATAAAAGAGAAGAAGTACGAGATGGAAAAGTTTGCGACGAATCCCAGTCCCTCGATTTCGTCTCCCATTTTAGTACTAGAAGAAGTGGCGACAAGGGCGGAAAGGAGGGAGAGCGCAAACCAACAGGAGAGGACGAGGAGGGATTGGATGTGGGAAGGCCTAAGCCAGAAGACGAAGAAGAAGAAGATAGCGGTGGTCCTGTTGTCTGCAAGGGGATAGCAAAAGGGACTAGTAGGAGGCAAATCATGAAGAGGTCCACTATGATCGCCAAGCAAGTTATCAGCATTCAATCCGCCCTCTCCCTGGGTTTTGTTTCCCAGCTCTGCGTCGATACAAATGCTGTGAGTGGTTATATTTTCTACCGTACACTACAACCAACTAATTTCTTTATTTCTTTCTTTCCTCCTTCAATATATACTGCCTAGTATTTTCTCTCAAATTTTCTTCTGAATCCCACAAGTTGAGTCTCTACCTCTTTGATTTTCGTCATTCATTCTCACTGCAATTTGCCTCCGGTTGATGCTTACAATATGCACATGGAACTATCTTTTGTGCCGCTGCCGCAATAATACAACTACTTGGCAGACTTCGATTTGTGGGAATTCTTTCCTCCTAAAGCTGCCTGGTAGCCTTTTTAATCTTCTAGCTTGCTGGATAGTTTAAGAGCTCATACAGTAACCAGCAGGACATAGTCATTCCTCTGGCATTCAGTAGTAGTAGCATGACACGGAGCTGATTTTTTTTTTGTTCTTTTCACCATGGCAGTGGGCGGTGTTATTTGTAGAAGTGAAGCCAAACTTACTTTCCAGTGAGCTAGAAAGGTTTTCCTTGGACGACCTTGCGAAGGTTTTTGTTTCATTACACTCAGAGCCGTGCGCTACCTCCTCTGCTCTTTACAGAATTGATTATTTTTCCTTTCTATTTGCCAGTAAATTTGATATTTTGCTACTATTACACCCCAGAATAATTTTTTAGTTTCAAGATTGGCTTGATGCCCTGTCTATTGTCACCATCATGTCGATCATGTTCTTCAGTTCTCCTACTGAGTTTCTTCAAATAGTAAATGTCATTAAGTCCGCGTGCTCAACATTTATGAAATTGTGGATATTTGCCGTTCTTCAACTTAAAGCTTAACCTTGTGCATTTATATTTATTCCAACGGTAATGCGGCTATTACAGTGATTTTGATACCCTATTAACATAATTGTATGACATTAATCCCAGGTTGGGGATGTGGTGCTCGTTGAGGATGAGAGTGTGATGGAAAATGACTTCAAATTAGTTGGACTCGAGACGCTGGTACTTTCTACTAGCTTTTTATTTGCTTCAGTTTATGCTAATATGTGGAAAGGGGTAGGCATATGGCTTCACATGTTGCACAAAGATTCCGGAGGGTGTTTACTCCATCAAATTAGATCACTGAGATAGCTCAACCACTGGAGGTCTAGTTTTCCCTCCTGTTCATCATATATACTAATAATCTCTGTCATTTGCACTCTAAGTGCATCCTTTTATGCCTGTAAGAACAATTGTTTCTCCTGAAGCTTTACATTTCATCTATTATTGACTGATAAGAGAGGAGCCATTTCATGCTCTTTTAGAAATGTTTCAAGCAATTCAATAAACGTAATTAAAATACCTGGCATCCAACAAGGAACTGTACGGGTAGGAAAAGGATCCACTGTTTAGTGGCTGTCAGTACTCATAGAGCCGTTATTTTCTCTCCAAGCCAAGTACATATGCGTAATCGTTTTGTGATCCTTTGTGAAGATAAATCTAACAAATCTACTCTTTTATGCTCTTGCTACTCAAAATTCTTAAATTGCTCTTCACATAACAATTGATGGTGAAGTGCTTCATTTCTTTGACCCCAGACCACTGGGCAAAATTTCCAAAGAAATGTATAGAAAATGAAATTGTTGATACAAACATTGATTAGTTCTCATGATGTTCCATGTCGAAACTCTAAAGTACTCTTGCCCTTTCCAGTCAATAATATGCCAATGTGCCCTTTTGTTTGCCAAATCTGTATGGTAACTGATGCTGTCTGTTAGGTAGGATATACTGTTGCAACTCCAGGTCGGCGAAATATTGGAAAAGTAAGTCACCACTCTTCCAACGTCGTCTCATGCTTTTGAGGCCTTTAATTTCGAGTACTTCTGGGATCATATGGCAATTATTTGCTTCTCAGGTGCGTGGATACAATTTTGACATTAACTCTGGGGTAGTGGAGTCTCTTGAGATTGATTCATTTGGGATATCCATCATCCCGTCAAGTTTGGTCGGTGAATCGTGCTTTACACTACTATTACTAGATTCTGAAAATTATTCTTTCCTTTATTGGTGTTTTCACTGTGTTTAACTGAAGCAAGATTCCGTGATATGGTACATGCTGAATTGAGGATTTTGGATGTGATTTCAGATGCTTTGCTGCTGTATTACAGGTGAGCACCTATGCATTATTGGTTGAGGATGTGCTGGAAGTTTTACCAGACACAGTTGTAGTACATGAAGCTGCAGCATCACGCATCCACAGGCTTACTAAGGTAAATCAATGTTGTCTTTGCTTGATACTCAGATGGTTTCAGTTGCGACTAAGATGGTTTCTTTAAGCTTGTTCCTTGGTATCCATTTGTGGTGAAAGTTTGTTTTAGCAAATGTTAAATCTCGGATGGGCTTTTAAAGCATAGAAGCAAAAGAGGATCATAACAAAGCACCTATACACTTGTTGCGATGGAGAAACGAATCAGGGTTGAGCACAGCACCACATATTCTGTCTCTTTCTTTGGGGTAAAAGTAGTGTAGTATATTCCGTTTCACTTGTGCATGATGCATTTGCATGCAAAAGGAAACAAAAGCATAGAAATTGATGAGGCAAGCTGCTGATATCACATCTCCTTCATTATTATCTGAAGCCGAAGAAGAGGATTCGGCTCAAAATGAGTACACCCGTTTTTGCTCAAGTTTTGGTACTACTATTTAGTAGCGGTTACTAAATTTGAGATGTGGAATTATACGATTGACGATTGATGGACGGGTGCTGCTGGCACAGGGGTTTTGGGGCGGCGGTCAGAAGATGGGCGGGTCAGTTGATGATGATGATGATGAGTTTGAAGAATGTTGTGGATACGGGGGAAGCGGGAAGAGAAAGTTGTCCAGGGCCAGGGGGAAGTTCCCTGGAGAAGCGGTGGAGCGGGCTGATGAATGGGAGCTTCCCATGGATTACTTGTGATCGATCATCCATCACACACTCATGCTGAGACTTTCTCCTTCTGTCACCCTACCAGTTACTGCTACAGTCATATGCAGGGCAGGGTATTGCCCACCCACATACGCCTCCATAGATAGGATTGCACTGGTTGTTGCAGTTTCCCGGTGGTCATTTTTTTCTTTTCAGTATTGGCTGAGATTAATTGTTATGTCGTCCATTTTCTCCAGACTAGCAATGGAGCAAACCACCACCGACCACCACCGCAGTTATGCCTTGGTTCTGTATGTGTGTAAACATTTTAGGAAAGAGTATTTTACAAGAACATAGGGCCTGTTTGGAAGGTGAGTTTTTTGGGAGTTAGTATAAAACTTTACTGTAGATCACTGTAGAAGTTGTAGAAAAAACTTTTGTAAAAATTTGGGTGTTTGTAAGATGAAAATTTTTTTCATTTTCATTTTCTTTCTTTCTTTTTCTTTTTTTTTTTCTTTTTTTTTTTTTTTCCTTCCTCCCTTTCTTCCCCTTCTCCCTCCCCCTTCCCTCCCCTGATCCCTCTCCCGGTACCTCCATGGCAGCAACCAACAGGTGAGAATCAAATTTTTTTTTTTTTTTTTGCTTTTTTTCTCCTCTCCTCTCCTTCCCCCACCACCCTTCCCTGCCATCCCTTCCTTCCCCCGCCACCCCTTCCCTTCCCCTTCCCTCCCCAGCCACCCCTGCCACCCTCCCCTCCCCCTCTTTTTTTTCTTTCTTTTTTTTTTCTTTCCTTCCTCCCTTTCTTCCCCTTCTCCCTCCCCCTTCCCTCCCCTGATCCCTCTCCCGGTTCCTCCATGGCAGCAACCAACAGGTGAGAATCAAATTTTTTTTTTTTTTTTTGCTTTTTTTCTCCTCTCCTCTCCTTCCCCCACCACCCTTCCCTGCCATCCCTTCCTTCCCCCGCCACCCCTTCCCTTCCCCTTCCCTCCCCAGCCACCCCCGCCACCCTCTCCTCCCCCTCTCCTCCCCTCCCTCGCCACCCTCCCCCTCCTTTAGCTGCGATCTGGTCTTGCGACCAGATCGCAGCCCCCCTCCCTCTCTTCCTTTGCGATCTGGTCACGCGACCAGATCCGTCAAAGGGGGAGGGGGGTGGTGGCGGGGGAGGCAGAGGGAAAGAGGGGAGGGGGGAGAGAGACAGAAAAAAAAAAAAGGAAAAGAGCATCAGAGACCAGTTTGGGCAAATGGAAACGGGGAGGGGGAGGGTGGCGGAGGAGGCAGAGTCGAAGAGAGGAGGGGGGAGGGGGAGAAAAAAAAAGAAAAAAAAGAGGACCGCCGGAACTGGTAGCCGGAATAGTGACCGGCCCCGGAAGTGGTGGTAATGGTCGCCGCCGGTCCGGAGGATGTGGTGGGTTGCGGTGGGGAGGCAAAAAGAAGAAAAGTTGAAGGCGAAATTTTTTGTTATATTTTTAAAGTGTGTAGGTAAAACTTTGATAAGTTTTTCTGGTCTTGTAGCCCAAAAGTGTTAAAAAACTAGTTTTATACAAATTGGCTAAAAAACCAAGGCTTCCAAACAGGGCCATAATTCTAGTGCGTTGTAGATTCTTATCCAAGACTTGTATCATTTGATGATGCCATGTGAATCGCTTTTACGATAATAAATGTAAAGTGCTCTTGCTGAAGAAACTTCTTGCTTGGCTTCGCCATTTTATTGTAGTCCATTGTTCTAATTGAAAAATATAATTATTTTTTAATTATTTAAAAATATTTTCATTCAATATAGGTTGATGTTAGCATAAATTAACTTATTTAATATAGATTGTTATTGGATATAACATATCTCATTTAAAATATTTAGATTTTTCAAAATATATGATGTATGAATGAGGATTGATTCTTTCGTAACTATCGATTCAAGTTTTCATAATCTATTAATTCAAAATTTCATGAATAATTAATATAAATTTATATTCTATTTAATATAAGATAGTTTAGAAAAATAATAATATAAATTTATTTTTTTAACAAAGTTAATTATTTTTTAAAATTTATGTTTTTAAAAAAAAACTAAAACTATAATGGGATGAAAGGAGTAATTGATTTCAATAAAGTAAAAAATATTTTGTGTTGCGGTATAACATGGCCACCGAATACAAAGTTGGGACCCACAACGTGAATCATAGTGCCGTGGATCCCACCATGTTGTGCAAGCTGTTGCTACCGCGAGTTGCGCACCGGCTGCAAGAAGAAAGATGACAGAAAGGAAAAAGGGACGCGATAATGAACGGAAAGGAAAGAAAGAAGAAGAGCCTAAAAGTAAGAACCAAACCAATCCAATCCAGCTACTAGTGCCGCGTGGGGTGGTGGGGCCCGCGAAGCGCGTCCTATGTGTAAACAAAAGGAAAAAATAGGCAATCCTCCTCCACGCGCTACTGGTAGCGGTAGTTGTTACCATAAATGAATAATAATATACTACTACTGTCTACTGCCACTAGTACTAGCCGAGTAGTAGTTTTTACTTGAAATGAATAAATAATAATGACTGACCGAAACACCGAAAACAATAATACAAAATATATATTTTTAAAAAAAAAAAAAAAAAACCTATTGAAAGCCTGCCAACTTGCCTTGCTTTCGTTTCAGTAGGACTATTTCTCTCTCTCTCTCCTCTGTCGCGAGCACTAGCATTAGCATTAGAAGAAGAAGAAGAAGAAGAAGAGGCAAGAGGAAGAAGAAAGAGAGAGAACGAGAACGAGCAAGAGAAAGAAGGGGCAGCGCATCAAAGCAATCCAACAACTTGCAGACAGACTCCTCACTCGGAAGTTTTTGTTCCACAAAATGTCTTAGAAGTTTTGGATCTCTTCTTCTTCCTCATCATCACCCATCCACCTGCTGGTATGTTTCTTTCTCTTTGCCAATTTGACTTTTCCTGCTTTTTTTCCCATCCTTTTTTTTTTTTTGGTGGGTATTCATGACCTGCTTCGATCTGTCGATCCAGAAGCCTTTTTGCTGATTTTTTTCTTCTCTCTCTCTTTTTTTTTTTTTTTGGTCCCAGCACATACATTTGTTTTTCAACTGCTGCTTCATTGCTTATTTGTCTTCTTTTTCTGGAGCTTTTTTTTTTTTTTTTTTTTCATCTTCATCTGCTTTCACTCAATTCCACTTCTCTTATCTCACTTTTTTTCCCCTTCGATTTTCACCAAATATTCACTCCATTTTAAGCCCTCGATCCGTCCGTCCAAACCCCACTGTTTATTTTTGCCCATAATATTTATTATCAAATTTAAAGAATTTCCAAGTACTGTGCTTTTTTTTTTCCTTCTTCTTTTTGACAATATATATTTTTATACATAGTCCATACTCAATGCTAATCGCTTTTCGACTTTACGGTCGAGTTGAGGTTTTTTTAAAAAAAATTCAGAAAAAAGCCTCTCTATCTCTCTCTCTCTCTCTTTTTTTTTTTTTTTTTTTTGGAAATCGAGTTTCAGAAAATAGAGAGTCTTTTAACAGTCCATCTTTTTCAACTTGGACTTCGGAGTCGATTTCGATAAATTTTTTCCTTTGTTTGGGTCTGCGAGTTTGATTATTAGTTGTAATATCCACTCATGGCTCATGACGCTCATTCGTTCATATCCCTTCTCCGTTCTTTGCCCCCAAAAAGATTATAACTTTTATTAAGACGATGTCATCCTCTTTTTTTGTTTTTGTTTTTGTTTTTGTTTATCCTCTCTCTCTCTAGAATCTGATGGTGCTATGCTACCTATCTAGCCAGTACAAATTATAACCGACTTCAATTTCGAAGCTTTTTCCTTCGATGGTGATCATATATATGCATATATGTGTCCTGTTCATTTGCAGATACTATTGTGGTGTAAGTTTCTTGGTCCGCATCAAGATTATGAGCGAGCCACGCCATCCTCTCCTCTTTTCCCTTCTCAATTGTCTATTCCTCGTGTTTGTGGCCCGTCGAGTTCTGGCCGACAATTATGTCCCGACTGACAAGATTCTGCTCAGCTGCGGAGGTCCTTCCCAATCTACTGATATTGATGGTCGCAAATGGTATTCTGATATCGGCTCCAAGTTTGCTTTGGCCTCCTCCAATTCTTCGGTTTTCCCTGCTGCTGTTCAAAAGCCCTCTGTCCCCCAGGTCCCTTATATGAATGCTCGCATTTTCCAGTCCAATTACACCTATCGTTTCCCCGTCGCCCCTGGTAGGAAGTTCATCCGTTTGTACTTCTATCCCACGTCTTACGGTGGCCTCAATGCCTCTAATGCCATCTTCTCCGTCACCGCTGGACGCTTCATGCTTATGAAGAACTTCAGTGCTGCACAGACGGCTGAGGCTCTAAACTACGATTTTATCACCAAGGAATTTTCTGTCAACGTGCCGTCCGGCGTGTTGAACTTAACTTTCTCACCAGCCTCAGACCCAGGCAATTCCTACGCGTTTGTTAACGGCATTGAGGTTGTCTCCCATCCTGATATCTACAGTGCTGAAGGTCCCAGCCTACTTGCTGGCCAAAATGCACCCTTCTCCATCGACAATACTACTGCACTCGAGAATGTTTATCGGCTAAATGTAGGTGGAAATGACATCTCGCCCTCCAACGACACAGGCCTTTTCAGGTCGTGGATTGCCGATTCGAATTACATCTTAGGCGCTGGTTTTGGGGTTACAAACGTAGCTGATCCAAATGTTACCATCAACTATCCCCGGGGACGCCATCTTTATGTTGCTCCGCTGGATGTCTACAGGACTTTTAGAACAATGGGCCCGAATGCAAACGTGAATCTCCAATACAATTTGACTTGGCTTTTCTCTGTGGATACAGGATTCTACTACCTAGTTAGGCTCCATTTTTGTGAGGGATTTGAGAATATTAGCTTAATTAATCAGAGGGTTTTCGACATCTTTCTTAATAATCAGACTGTCCAGAAAGCAGCAGATGTTATTGCTTGGGGAAACACGAATGGAGTTGCGCTGCACAGAGATTATATGGTTTTCGTCCCTAATGTCGGGACCCCGCCAGCAAGATATCTGGCTTGCCCTGCATCCCAACCCTGGCACTAAACCCTCTTATTATGATGCGATCTTAAATGGCGTGGAGATATTCAAAGTAAACAATACTGATGGAAATCTTGGGGTCTCAACCCAACGCCACTTCCAAATGAACTGGCAGTCTCTTCTACAACATCATCTGGTCGCTCGAAAAGGGGAAAGCAGTCATTGGCGGAGGGGTTGGAGGTGGAATTGCTGCCGTCCTCCTCATTGGGTTGCTTGTTTGTGCTATTTCTCGTCGCCGCCGCAGGCACCAAAAGGACTCTACTGCAAGTGATGGCTGGCTCCCTCTTTCATTATATGGAAATTCACATTCCTCGGGTTCTGCAAAGACAAACACGACTGGAAGCTATGCGTCCTCCCTCCCTTCGAACCTTTGTCGCCACTTTTCATTTGCCGAGATCAAGGCTGCGACCAATAACTTCGACGAGGCTGCTCTTCTCGGCGTGGGAGGTTTCGGCAAAGTATACAGGGGTGAAATTGATGGCGGCACAAAAGTCGCAATTAAGCGCGGGAATCCACTTTCTGAGCAAGGCGTGCACGAGTTCCAAACTGAGATTGAAATGCTGTCGAAGCTTCGGCACCGTCACCTGGTTTCGCTGATTGGCTACTGCGAAGAGAACTGCGAGATGATCCTTGTTTACGACTACATGGCATACGGAACCCTGCGGGAGCATCTTTACAAGACGCAGAAGCCTCCGCTGCCGTGGAAGCAGAGGCTGGAGATCTGCATCGGTGCTGCTCGCGGCCTGCACTACCTGCACACGGGTGCCAAGCACACAATTATCCACCGCGATGTGAAGACGACCAACATCCTGTTGGACGAGAAGTGGGTTGCAAAAGTTTCGGACTTTGGGCTGTCGAAAACGGGTCCTACGCTGGATCACACGCACGTGAGCACAGTGGTGAAGGGGAGCTTCGGGTATCTGGATCCGGAATACTTCAGGCGGCAGCAACTGACAGAAAAATCGGATGTGTACTCTTTCGGGGTGGTATTGTTTGAGATCTTGTGCGCTCGCCCAGCTCTGAACCCAGCGCTTCCAAAGGAACAGGTGAGCTTAGCGGAGTGGGCATTGCACTGCTACAAGAAGGGGATCCTGGACCAGGTTATGGATCCTTATCTGAAGGGGAAGATAGCAGCGGAATGCTTTAAGAAGATAGCGGAGACAGCGGTGAAGTGTGTGGCGGACGTGGAACGGACAGGCCATCCATGGGAGACGTGCTTTGGAACCTGGAGTTCGCGCTGCAACTTCAGGAGAGCGCGGAGGAGAGCGGAACGGAGGGTGTGGGTCTTGTTGGAGGAGTGGATTTGCAAGAGGGGACATTCGATGGGGAGGAGGTGACGGGTAAAGGGAGGAAGGATCCGAATGGTGGTGGTGGTGGTGGCTTTGAGGACTCCAGAAGCTCTGGGATGACAATGAGCATTGGGGGGAGGAGCCTTGCGAGCGAGGACTCGGATGGGTTAACGCCCAGTGCTGTATTCTCACAGATCATGAACCCCAAAGGACGTTGAGATCTCCAACTGCAGAATTTTTTTTTTCTTTTTTTTTTTAGAAAAGAAAGAAAAAAAAAGGGGGGGGGGGGGCTGTAGTGTGCAGATGGGTTTCGTTTCACCTGTAAACTCAAACTCAAAGAGAGTTTACTTTTTTCTTTTTTGTTTTTTGGGGGAATTTTGGGTTATTATTATTGTCTTTGCTGTTGTATAATTCTTTCACTATTCGAGCTCCTGTCAAGTTTACCGAGAAAATCGTTTTATTTTAAAAAATATATTATTGTATCAATGATCATGACGTTCCACGAAGGGTATATGGGAATTTAATTTTTTATTTTTTTATCTACCTATATAGTAAAAGCGCGAAAGGATTCGTTAAGGGTTGTGGTGGCTGTGCTGATGTGGTTGCATTTTATTCGCTGGAGGGTCGTCCTCCATCACGTGGTGCTCGCGTGCTTTCACTGGGAGGGGCTTCGGACTCCTGCTTTTGTCCGTTGGGAGGAGCACTACAATTCCTGCTCTTTGTCCGATAGACGAGAATGAGGACCGGCTAACCTGCTGAGTAAGCTTATGGCGGTTGGTGCTGGTTTGATTGATGCGAAGTATTGGGTGATGGGCTCAATGTGGGTTTGCGTGGGTTTACCATTTTGCCCTTCATTTTAAAAAACAAATGCAACGTTGTTTGTTGCTGAACTTACTGCTTGCCTCTGTCCTTTGTTGAGAAGAAGTTTTAGCTCTGGTTTGGAGAGCTACCAGAAACGGACTTTTTCTCTTTCTTCTGATTGAAAGGACTGAGAAACTTTGTTTCTCCCATGTATGCAGAGGCTCCTGTGTTTCTGAGACCGCCTCCTCCAGCTACGGCCATTATGCTCCACGGTAACTGTGCCTTGTTTTTCGGTGGTCTTTTCTTTCTTTCCATCTGTTTGCTCCTATCCACTGTCTTGTTAGCTCATTTCTTTCCTTTCCCTTATTCTCTCTGTGGGAGTTGCTGTTTTCCTGCGTTCTTGTTTCGAATTTACTTGCCCTGTTACTGTTACATTTTTCCTCCTGGTGAGTTTGTTGTCTGGAATTGTCATGCTTATTTGATTTTCCCCCCTAAATTTTTGCCCCGTTGAACTCTTACTGTTGCCTTGGCTATTTCCTTTGCATTACGCTCCATTTTTGCTGCTTCTGTTGCTTTATTTAGCTTTGATTTCCTGTACGCATCTTTTTAACTTTGTTTTCCATTTCTCTCTTGTAAGTTGTGCTTACAATCCTTTTTTTTTTTTTTTTGTTCTAGCTTCTGCTCTGCGCTTCTTAGCTCGTGCGGGTAAGCTTCTCACGCGTTCTGTTTTATGCTTTTTACCCCTTTCCCCTTGATTCCCTGATGCTTTTCCCCTTTCATTCTCTCTTGCATGCTATAGCTCATTAGCTCTTTTATCATTGTATCCTCTTAATCTTTCTTTTTCTCGTTGTTTTGTTTAATACAGAAGGCGGTTCTGCCCTTTTCCCTCCTGCTCTATTGTTGGCTGCCAAAGGATTGTTCTGCCTATCTAAGGCTAAGGTGCCGTCACTTATTCTCCCTTCTGCATAAGCTTGCCTTTTTTGCTTTCCCTGTTGCCTTGTTCCTTGCCAATGAACATTTGGTCCATGTTGTTACACCCTTCTATAATGTTACAAGGTTTTCTTGAACGTTTTCCTCCTTCGTGCTGATTATGTCTGCCCAAAAATAGCTTTATAATGGCAGTCATATGCACGTGCACCTGAAAAACAAAAGTGCACGCTATCCCTTTCACCTGATTACATTTAACTGGCAGTCATATGAAATTATGCATGCAACAAATACATTACAGATACCTAACAGTTATTATTCCCACTAATTTTCTTCTCGCATAATCAGTGATCAATTTTATTTACTCTAACATGAAAACCATGTACGCTAACAATTCCACCTTTCTAATCATCGCCTACTTAACCCATTCTCCCAAGAATAAACTTCCTTTAGCAGACATTTCCATTCGCTATGAAGAAACAATAAACTTCGATTACAAGACAATTGAACAACATCAAAATCAATTCTTATTGTAAATTTAAAATCAACAAAAATGATCAATCTTCTGCAGTAAAATAGCATAATGAATAGCTTGCCAACACTTCGTCCCATCTCTACACGAAACAAAACCATACAAATTAATTACAATTTTACTCACCTCGATTTTTCCTTTATAACCTTTTTTCTCAACACCATGTTGGATGCAAACTTTTATATACTCACGTTTTCTTATACCATTACTTATTTAAAAACTTAATCATTTTATAGCTAAGTTGCTCAGACGCAACTCATATGCTTTATGCTATTTCCACTTGAAAACCTGGGCATTTTTTGGGCAGCATGAAACTAGATGCGCGGTGATCCCCTCCTAGTTTTTTAAAAAGTGCGGTGAGGTGGGGGTGGAACTTAATAGATGCTTCTTGTTTTTGTGAGAATGCGTGTGGAACTTATTGGCAGCCGAGAGAGAGAGAGAGAGAGAGAGATTATTGTTTGATCGTTTGATTTGGCAGCTAAGCTAATACTATGTGTTTGACCAGCTAATATAGATTAGAATTGGGCCAACGTGATTGCCGCTCTCTCTCTCAAGTCTCAACTCCGGGAAGGGAAAGGGGCTGTGGGTATCTGGGTCCGGAGTAGTAGTAAATAGTGTACTACTTACGCTACTACAGTATTAAACTGACTGACAAGGTCCCACAACACAGCTGGCTCTCTTAAATCATGTTGTCAGTCACTTCTGGTTCTTATTACCACTCCCTGATTCTAGTACTAGTAGTCACTCTTTTTATTACTACTCTCTCTTTCTCGCCCAATTATTTGGTTGAAAAATTTTTAACTTTTAAGAATAATAATAATTTCATCATACCATTTCAATATGACAAATGTTTTAAAAGATCTCAAAATAAAAATAAAAAACATACAGTAACACTTTCAACGAGATGAGATGGATGGGAAACAAAACACACCAAAAAAAAAGAAATTAAAAAGATAATCGAATCGACAAAATCACAGGGCCCGAGTTTCACAACTCACAACCATATCAACTAGTACTTGCATATTGACAAAGTCTTGTTATATTATACGTGTGCCAGCCAGTGCAATAACTACTTCTGCAGCGTACTCTCTGAATCTACTATGGAGGTTATCTTCTTCTGCAGCTCTGGCTTGTTGGCACCCACAAGTTTGTCAATCTGCTGTCCGTCTTTTAGAAAGAAGAAGGTTGGTGTTGCTTTGATATCCCACGATGCGCTGAATTCCTGAAACCAAGTACACTACTATATAAGATGAATTATGCAGCCCCAAGAAAAAGCTGCTATTCTGTAAAAATATAAATCCTACATTCATCAGATTAATTACAAATAAAATTAAAAAAAATACTTCTTGTATTGACATAACAGCATAATCGCAGGTAATCCATCCAAAACTGCCAGCGGCAAATATTCTCATAGCATGATTTCCCGTCGCATCTGACCAAATTACAGTTGCATCATCGCTTACCGTTAGTTCGTCAACATCAATCGTCAGGAACATCAAAGTTGGATGTTTCTCCGATAGCTCACAGTAGAATGGTGCAACCATTCTACAAGGGCCGCACCAGGAAGCACTAAAATTTGCAATAACCTGCCCAGCATTTGAACCACATTAGGAACGCACGTAAAGCAAGCGCAAGCAGAATAAATCAATAAACACCAAATTAGACTGCAGTTGCAGAGCCCCTTTAAGAATGGCACCTAGTAGTTCCACTACAAGGGCATTAGCTTCATTTCCTACGTCTCTACATCCAGTTCAAAGTGTGTGCAAGCTGCTTGTCAATATTTCTCTTTCATTTGTAACCCACATGGCTTTTTTAACAAGTCCAAACTGTCCACCTTAATCCCCCGGGATGTCCATGTCACTGATGCACTTGAAAGCTACAGTAAGACAGGCACTTATGATACAAACAAAGTCTTGTCAATTTAAAGAAACCAATTCCCAACCATAAAGAAATCTGAAATTAATTAAAAGTGCAGAGAAACACGGTAACATTCTCATGGAGAACCGAGTATGGAGTGCTGCTAGATCCCAATTCCATCACAAACCTACTGACGCAGACAAATCTTTTTTCCTCCTAGCAGTTCAATATCGGGCCCCTTCTGCATATCTTTGAGCACTACAACGTGTGCACAGGGAAAAAAGAAACATCTAAATGCAAGCCTCGCATGATTATGACCACAAAGGTACCTCTTTTCCATAGCAATGCAGTCGAAAAACTGAGTACTTGAACTACAAATTTCCAGCATAGGCAAGACGAATACTCTACCCAGTGAAATGATGCTTACTCCTGTGACAACCGATTTTCCCAAGATATCCACCTGCAAGATGAAAGCTGCTCTACTCTAGCTTTGTGCCTCGCTTCCAGTAGTTTATAAGTTCATGACACTAATCAAAATTCGTCCCCCCAAGGATTATCTAGTTATGCTAGGCAGTTACATGCCCTCTAAACTACTGCCATTCACAATTACATGCCCTCTAACAAAGCAGCCATAAGACTTAGTACGCTAGAAAACCTCTCACTGAAGTTATGATCATGAACCCAATTGGGTAAAATAACGATAATACTCACCATCTGATAGACTCGTATGTGGAAAGAAATACCAGGTTACTGTCCAACTCGAGATACAAATACTACACAAAATCTATGACCAGTACTAGCTAAATGAGGTCAGTACTCCCTCATTTTCTCCAAACACAGAATACCATTGACAGAGGTTAGGTTACAACAGTTTTACCAACACAAAGAACAGTCAGCACTCGACGGTACCTTGACACAAAGCTGATCACTAGCTATCCAAGGTTCCCAAATCTAAAAGGCAACAATAAGAATTTGCAACATCCTTTGCCTTTGATGAAGTGTCTCACATCTTGTGCTGCTTGCTTCTCAGAAAGTGAACAAGTAAAGCCCAGAAACTTTGCAGAACCTCTCCATATAGACTTATAAAACGATGACTAAATGAAAATCATGTGTATGCCAAGGTAAATTCGTCTAAAAGATAAACAAGCAGAACATGCGGACATAACTACATAATTTGGATGAAGGCTAAACAAGGAAGTGGTGAGTGTCAATAGAACTCACGATTTTGCCATCCCTCTTTGCTTCTGTTAGTTTCTGATCCCAGCTTTCTTTTGTAGTAATCAGGTGCACATTTCCACCCACGAATTCAGCATTGTGGACAGATTCATCTCCATCATTCTTTGGCTTTAAGTGTCAAACCAGAGAAACAATTTGTCAAAAGCAAACAAATGGTATCCAGAAGACAACAAAGACCAAAAACTGTGTAATTTCACCTTCCTCTTCTATCTCTCACTTACCTTTTCCTAGCGTGGCTCCAAGATCAAAACTGTATACTAACATCCTACACTGTGGTCAGGTACGTCTATATCAGTTTGAGAGCTTAAATCCTTGATTTCTACCTACTCTAGAACAAGTCAACATATTTGAGTATGTTGACAATTATCCTAAAGTGATTCGTCAATAGGGGAGATTAGACGTGTTTTAGGCACAGACCATAGCCCAACCATATGCTGTAAACCAGAGAACTATTTATCGGTGCGACTAGCAAAGCATGCCATAATCAATAAAATTATCAACATCCAGTGGAAGACTCGGGCCGATCACCAGAGGATGGGTGTCGTTCTTTTTTTTTTTTTTTTTTTTTCTTGTGGACCCGGGCAGAGAGGAGAGCTGAGGAAGAAACGGAAATATACCTTAGGCAAGCAACAGCCCATTTGATACTCGACAGCCAAGTGGGGATAATTCTCGTGAAGGGGAGCGGAGCAAATGAAATGAAGAGAATCCAGTCCACCCCAGAAATCTGAAACAAATCTGCTACGGCAATGGGAATCGAAATGAGCTGGGATTAGGGATTGTTGTTGTTGTTGTTATTAATTATTAGACGGATCCCCAAAATTTTGTTTTTGTTTCCGCCGTTTGCTGCGTGTACAAGATTTTACGGTTGGATTGTAAAAGCAGCAGGCGACGACGAAGGAAGCAGAAGAGAGTGATGATCTGAAAGGGTTGAGTGAAGGAGTATTTGGTAAAGCGATTTTAGGATAACTGCAGAAATTGGAAATACTCAAATACAGAGAGAGAGAGAGAGAGAGAGAGTTTATTTAATCCAATCCCTCATTTTGGCGAAAACCAAAATGATCTTTCTGCGACTGAAATCCCAGCCAGTACTGTTACAACGTTGTCCCATTATCAGGCATTAGCTACCAATCCCCAAAATTTACCGATGATTATTAGTCCGTCGTATACTATACAATTAAATGCATCATCATTATTGTTAGCAAATAGTAGTAGCTCAGATCAGATCAGATGCGGCCAGATTACGGAATTCCCAAAAAAAACTCCCACATTTAAAAATTAAAAAAAAAATTATTTATTTTTAATACTACACCACTATTAGTAAAGTAGTAGTAGTAGTAGTGGGTAAGCCAATCCTTACCCCCCAATGGAGTGGGCTGAAACTAAAATGCATGATGATGATTGATGATGATGACAACAAAGCAACAAAAACATCTTCCAACTTGTGGCACATTCCTAGCAGTCGTCAACTCAAGAAAGTCAAAAAAAAGTTAGGCTTGCTTTGACTCTTATTATTATTAGTAATATTAATATATTTTTCATTCTTCTTGTGGTTATGATTTGAGAATGTGTGGTTTTCTTGTAAAGTTTTGCCCTCATCTTTTATGTTGTGCTTACTGTG